GTATGGTGCACACACGTGTACATGAGGGCAGAGGCTGACATGCATATGTCGTCTCTATTGTGCATGCAGGTATGGTGCACTCAGACACACAAACACACGCACACGCGCACACACACGAGTGCAGAGGCTGAAGGTTAATACTGGATGTCTTTCTGCAATTATATTCCATGACTTCCACCTTTAAATCTTATTAACTTATTTGGTGTGTGTATGCATGGCGTGTGTGTCAACCCAGAGGACAACCTGCAGAAGCCAGTTCTTTCTTTCCTTCCATATGTGGGTTCTGGGGCGTGGTGTCATGCTTCTGCCTGTCACATCATTTCTGTGGTTCTCTCTCTTATGTTCTGAGACAAGGTCTCTCACCACACCTGTGGCTCATCCATTTGTCTGCACTAGCTAGCCATGCCCCTGCGCTGTCCCTGCAATAACTGGGTTACAGCACACATTACTGTGCCCTGGTTTTTACGTGGGTTCTGGTTATCCACACTCACGTCCTCATTCTTGAACAGTGAGCAATTTACTGACTGAGCCACTGTCTTCGTCCCTTCTGTCTTGGGAACTGTTATCATCACAGAATTTTACAGCCACATAAGCCACAATTACTACTCACTGTGGCCCTACCTGACATCTCCTAGAGTCATGCATTCTGGAGCGCCAAGGATAAACTAGATCCCAAGAAACTAAATTTCCTGGCCAACTATACTAATACTGAAAATGATTTATCTCTTTTTAACTAATGTAAAAGTATGTACTGTGAAAACCCTCCCTCATTAGGCCCTGCTGGGAGCGAACAGCACAGAATCCATACATCCCTTCTTTCCAAGAACCACATGTGGCTAGGGTGGGAGTCTGGCCCTCTTGTCTAGGAGTTGATCTTTTGTTTGTTTGTTTGTTTGTTTTTTTCGAGACAAGGTTTCTCTGTGTAGTTCTGGCTGTCCTGGAACTCACTCTGTAGACCAGGCTGGCCTCGAACTCAGAAATCCGCCTGCCTCTGCCTCCCACGTGCTGGGATTAAAGGCGTGTGCCACCACAGCCCGGCCTAGGAGCTGATCTTAAAGCACAGGAGCTAAGGCAATACACTCAAACTGTCACTTCAACACATGGCCAGTCACGGGCTAGGAAGTCTATGTTATAAAGTCTATGTCATCTCCTGGCGCTGTCTGTCCATTCGTCCGTCTGTCTGTCCCAGCGTGTGCTGAGCACCCACAGTAGCTAGGTTAGGGGGCTGTGTGGTGCAGCTCACTCTCCATTTTTATTTCCATGCAAATCTGGCAAGGCACAAGTGACTGGATATGGTCATATGTCTGTCTGTCTGTCTCTCTAGGATTTCTGCAGACCGTGAATCTGTGTGCTGAGGTTGCCCGTGCCAGTCTCATGGCACCCCGCTTCATGATCACTTCCTGTGTGAACACAGTGAGTACAGGTCTCCCCAACCTTCCATCACCACTAGCACCACCGTTGTCTACACACACGTGGGACAGGGCCATGGACAGTGGTTCTCACAGGGCTGCTGGAACACCCTCTAGGAAGACTGGATCTTGATCAGCAAAAGTAACAAGAAAACCAAAAATGGCAGGAGACCCCGAGCTCTGACGCAGGCTCCCAGCATCCTGTGCTAAGGCTGTCCCCAATCACACACACGGTGTGGACCAGAAAGGTAAGGAGCCACAGCCGCACCTTCCAGGCACGGTGCACGGCTTACACATACCTCCCACTCCTGGAAGAGGCGGATCAGGTACTCATAGTTCCGGGCCCGTAAGGCCAGGTGGTCGATAAGCAGCAGCATACACAGGGGGTCCTCATCCGGCTCGAGGCTTCCAGAGGCAGCACAGCGAGTGGAGAACAAGGGGGACAGAGGAAATGTTGTCATGGCTGGAGTCCCCACAGGTCGTGGTGAACACCGGCGGCCACACGACAGTGAACACTTACCTCAGAATGAGCTTGCAGTACTCCAGGGCCGTACGTGGGCAGCCACGCTTCTCCAAGAAACTCATCTGCTTGTAGAGGGCCAGGTAGAAGCTCCTAGGTCGAAAACAGTTCCCCGTGTGTTAGCGTGACAGGAAAGCAACAGAACATGACATAAGTGGCCAGCACTGTGTCCCCCCTGCGTCACAACAGCATTTCCTAAGCGGTCAGACAGAGTGTTTGTGAACACTCCCTCTGGGCCTGGAGGAAATGCCTGCCCTGTGTTACTTAGTTATAAAAGCACTACACTGAGTCAAGCTTTTCTGGTTTAGACAGGATCTGACTATGCTGCCAGGTCTGACCTTGAACTCCTTGGCTCAAGAGATCTACTTCCAAATGCCCAGTCTACACACAGGTGCCACACGCTTGGCTATAACCGAGTGTATGTGAAACTCCTGACTTTTTTTTCCTTTTTTCTTTTCTGGTTTCTTAAAAAGGCAACCTCACGTAGCCCAGGCTGGCATCAAACTGCCTATGTAATCAAGGCTGACGTCTCAGGGCTGAGCCTGCAGCCTGTGACACTGTGCTTGCAAACCTGTCTCCTTGCTAGTCGTTTACGGATTTTCACTTAAAGGAAGGCAATTAAACCTGTATGATTATAATCTTAACTTGTGCTCGGCCTTTAGCAGCTGTCAGAGCACTACACGGAGATGCATAAAGCTGGGCGGCTTTAGTCATCTTGGTGACTTAACTTAGAACCTGTTTCAAAGAAGTAAGAGTTTAACTAAGCCGGGCAGTGGTGGCGCACGCCTTTAATCCCAGCACTTGGGAGGCAGAGGCAGGCGAATTTCTGAGTTCGAGGCCAGCCTGGTCTACATAGTGAGTTCCAGGACAGCTAGGACTACATAGAGAAACCCTGTTTCGAGAAACAAAACAGAACAAAACAAAAACAAAACAAAACAAAACAAAGTTTTGAAGAGACAAAAGACAAAAGAGTTTAGAAGAGACAAAAGCAATAAACACTCAGGAACCTAGAGAAGGGATCCAAATCCAACATGCGGTTCAAAAGTGGATAATGGCTGAGACTAAGGTGGGGGCCAGCCTGGGGCAACCCAGGGTTATGCAGAGAAGCAGAGTACTAGGTATGAAGGAAGGATGGGCACACATGGGCTAAAACCAGAGGGTGGTCAGGCTCTGAGAAGGCCGGAAGGAAGTGCTCCCCATGTGGTCGCTTAAGTCAAGGTAAACCTGTGCTCATCTCAGATTTAAAAACCCAGAGACACAACTACAAAGCTGCAGAACTTAACCTCACTGGAAACGGGGGTTTTCCTCCAAAGCCACAAGAAGTGTGATTCCAGATCTCATTGGCCTGTGGCTTACCAGGCTCACTTGTAACTTGAACAGATTTAATTTGGGGCCAATCTGATGCCTGATTCTTTGAGCCAGCCCTCTGCAGTTCAGCTGGAAACACATCAAAGCTTAGAGGCACCCTGGACCTTCAGGGCCCTGATTCATCCTCAGGGACAGGACAATCTTGTATGACAACAGTCACTCCTGTGACTTGAGGGTACCCGTTACTCACTCTAGGATGGACCAAACTCACCTGTTCTCAGGTCTGCGGTAATCCAGCCTGCAAGTCCCACTGGTGAGACTGAACAAGGGGTGGAATGCACACTCCATGCTGTACAGGGCTCTCTCTGTGGGCCACAAATATCAGAGGAGGGTGTCACAGACACAACAACTTTAACTCTCTCCTCTAACAACTCACAACGAGGAAAGTTCAGGAAGGAAGGAAGTCATGTAACTGGGACCCTGAAAGAGGGACAGTACACACAGACTTCCCAGGAATTCCTGAATGACTCTAGCTTAGTGCAACATACATTTGTAAACTTCAGAGCGAAATGCTTCCTGCCCAGGAGTGACAACTGGTGTTGTGATCTGCCAACACCAGATACCCACTTGCTCACCAACATGCAGCGAGCAGCATGCACCATCACAGAACCGCACAAGCACTCTCAGCAACACCACTTCCAACTGCCGGAAAACACCCTGATTGTCCATCAACTGACGCACAAGATTCGGTGTACACACAGATAGAGGTATAAAGCAACAAACGGGTACAAGTACAATACATGCTCCAGCAGGGACCACAAAGGTGGGAGATGAAGGAAGCCAAGCGAAGGCCACACGCTGCATTGACTCAACCCCCCAAGCACAACCGCAGACAGCACAGTACTAGTTCCCAGGACTGAAGAACGAAGCCTGCTTTAAAACTGACCGACACAGACAGTGGTGACGGCTGTACAGCTGCATACACTACATTGTCATTCATATACAATGAGCTATACATTCTACACGAGAGAATCCTATGGCATACAAATTCTGTCTCCATGAAACGTCCTTTGTCATCCCATGGGGCATCTGCCTGTGAGCCCGAGTTGCTCGAGCAGCAGGCGCAGGGGGCTGGCTCACCTATAAGATCTCGAGCCATCTCCTGATCCTCCTGAAAGCGGCAGGCATCACTGAGCTGCAGAAGTGAGTCCACATGGTAGGGGCTTGTCTGGAGCAGAACCTGTTGGAATGGAAGACAGCCCTAGAGAGGGGCTGCAGGCAGCACACAGCCCGAGAGAGACCCTCGTGACACATGCTCCCAAAGAGCACAGGCCACACCCATGCTGGGAAAAATGATCACAGTGAAAGTCATAGTTTGTTTTTTGTTTTTAATTGTTGTTTATTTGAGATATGGGCTTCAGTATGTATCCCTGGCTGGCCTAGAATTCACTATGTAGGCCATGCAGGCCTCTAACAGAGATCCACCTGCCTCTGACTCTCAGGGCTTGGATTAAAGGTACACACTACCACACCTGACTCATAGTTCACGTTTAACTCAAAGTATGCGATGTTGTGGCTCAGGTGAACCATTGATCTAGCTCAAGGTGAGACTCGGAAACTGGCCTAATTGCTCTCTATGCCCTAATCAGAAGCAATGGAAACCAGAATTTCTCTTCTCTCCAAAGAACTATGATGGCATTTAGGGGTCAGGTACACAAAAGCACAACGGATGAGCTTCTCTTTGTTCTCAGTGATTGCAAACTCAACTGTGGCCCAAGGATGGAGCAGACGGGACACAGGCTGTTGTACCACAGAAGAGAAAGGCTGTCCAGGGAAGGGGACAGCGCTCCCAGTACTGTATCCCCTAAGCTAAAGGCAAATGCTGCTGAGAAAAGAGCCCACAATGCCCTGTACACAGTTCCCAGAAGGGACATGAGAGCGGGGTGTGGCTTTCCTCTGAGGACAGGCTATACCATTAGTCTGTCACTTCCTCTGAACACGTGATCTGACTGCTCTGCACACAGGCATCTTCCAAACTCAGGGGAAGCAGCTGCCCCTCAGACATAACTCCCCAAATCCCAGAGGAACCCAGTCCAGGCACAGCACACTGCTTGACCCCCACCTGTCAGGAGCTGCGGGTTACATACCACAATGTTGTTTGGCTCCATGGACTCCACGGCCACCAGGAACTTGTGCTGTGCTTGTTGGTACTCTTCATTATGCTCAAACGCAAAGAAGGAAAGGCCTTTCTTGGACTCCAGCAGCCGCATTGATAGACCTGCAAGGACCACTGCTCAGGAGGGCAGGCTGTGGCACCTGCAGGACCCCACTGCTCAGGAGGGCAGGCTGTGGCACCTGCAGGACCCCACTGCTCAGGAGGGCAGGCTGTTGCACCTGCAGGACCCCACTGCTCAGGAGGGCAGGCTGTGGCACCTGCAGGACACCACAGTTCTAGGTACTCACAACTCTCCTGTTGTTCTTGGCACAAATACGTCACATGAACACAATTCAACCTGAGCATCTAGTACAGGTTGGCCAGTTCTGGGACTATGCTCCCGACAGGCTATAAGCTAACATCTGCCAAGAGCTCTTGCAGAGTGCTTAGGCCTGCTCAAACTGTGTGATCTGCACCAAGGCCTGGAGTCTTGTCTGTTTTGTTCCTCAGATCCACCCCAAGTATACACAGAAGGGACATATGCAGGTCACTATGGCTGGCTAGAAGCAGTACTGGAGACTATAGCATGAGTGACCTGTCTGGTTACAGAAACACCATGCCCAGAGTTTTGGGACAAGCATCCAAAGTGTCTGTATAAAGAGCAGTCTACCAGAGTGAGCACTGACCCAGGTTCAGCAGGTCATTCCGACTTAGGACTAGGCACTCTTGGTCGCTGTTCCTTATATACAATACTGGGTGTGCAGGGACATTTTCTCTGGTAAATTTCCATCCAACAGGCCAGTAACTCTAAGTTCCCGTCCTAAAGTGGTTCTACCTAAGGCCAGAGTCTGGCATGCCACACAGTCAATAAGTCTGCCTGCACCAGTGGACAAGTGTTCTTGCTGGCAAGGCAAGAGGCCTGGCATAAACAAAGGATACTGTCAGGCAGCAGTGCACAGGCCCAGAGCTCCTACACAGGGGTTCACAGGCACATAAGAGGCAGGGCTGTCGAGAAGGGGCAGGCCCACTTTACTATCACCAGCACAGCCACACCGATATGCACTTCCCTGCCTTTACCCTGTGAGGGGCTCTTATGTCTGTCAATCAAGGTAACGGACACTTTTCCTGTCACAGAGCCAAGCACCCATCAAGGATATTTACTTCACACTCTCCTGCCTCTCTCCAAACCGTTGCCTTCTTTCTTTAAATTACACATACTTGGTAGCAACAAGTTAAAATAAACTGACTGCCTGGGAGAACCGAGGGCATTAGTTGTGGATCTAAGCCACTGCCTAATCCAGTAGGGCCTTACCTGGTTTGCTGTATCGGGGCCATGTGCTCTTAGGGGTTGTCAGCCATGTACACTTGGGATACACACGCTGTCTCTGTCGAGGCCTGGGTAAAACAGAACATAGCACAGTTTTATTTTCCGTAGTGGATAGGGACCACGCTGGTCTACCTAACACCACAGGAACTGTGGAAGTCAAACTGTAGGCAGGGAAGATACAAGGAAGAGAAATGAACAGGGGCCTAGCAGGCAGGACGAGGGTGGACAGACACAGTGTCAGCAACAGAGGTAGTCACCACAGAACCAGAGAAACAGGGGAAACTGAGGCTGGGGTAAAGCTCTGGGTGCTCGGCCAGCACACACAAGGTTCCAAGTTCATCCTCGGCAAAAACAAAACAAAAAGAGAAAGTCCAAGCAGTCCAGTAAACCAGTGGAGGGGTCCAGGCATGAGGGCACACTACTTTAGTCCTAGTACTCAGGAGGCAGATGCAGGTGGATCTCTGCGTCTGAGGCTGGCCTGGTTTACATAAAGCACTCTGGACAGCCAAGGCTATACAGTTAGACCCCATCTTGAATGAAAAGGGAGAATCAAAAAGGAAACCAGAAAATGAAAGCCTAACGTGAGACGACAGGAACAAGCCAGGCCGCTGCTCTGCTGACACGAGGGAGACGTGGCCTGCTCCCCAGGGCATCATCTGAACACAAGCAGACCTCGGTTCCGGCTTCGTGCTGAGGACGAGGTGAGTCCGTGCCGATACACTAACACGGGAAAGTCTGAAAAGGAAGCCATGGCGACGACGGGGAAGCACATCGGCGGCACTGCACAGCTCTGGAAGAACATTAGCCCGACAGAAGAACACCACAGATTGCAGGAAGAGGAAGGCCAGGCTCCTCATACAGATCTTGCATGGATCACAGGAGCCAAGCCCCACCCCCCCATGTTCTGGTGGCTAGTGGAGAGGGAAGGAAGGAGCCTTTTCTTCAGGTTGACCTGAGGGAGCGATCTGTGAACAAGTGACATTCCTTCTCTATGCTTCTTTGATCACTTAGGTACGTCAAAAGTGAATGAGTAACAAGCTGCACTTTCAGAAACAAGAGAGGAAAGCTTCAAAGAGAAATAAAATAGCTGCAGAAAAAACTCAAGTGTAGAGCCGGGCGGTGGTGGTGCACGCCTTTAATCCCAGCACTTGGGAGACAGAGGCAGGCAGATTTCTGAGTTCCAGGCCAGCGTGGTTTTTATTTTTTTGGGGGGGGGGGGGGTTCGAGACAGGGTTTCTCTGTATAGCCCTGGCTGTCCTGGAACTCACTCTGTAGACCAGACTGACCTCACAGTCAGAAATCCGCCTGCCTCTGCCTCCCAAGTGCTGGGATTAAAGGTGTGTGCCACCACCGCCCGGCAAAAATCTTTTGTTTTTAAAAGGTTTTTTTTTAAATGTGTTTTATGTATATACTTTGTAAACATGTATGTACGTGTACTACGAGTATGCCTGGTACCTGTGGAGGTCAGAAAAGGGTGTGAAATCTTTGGAAGTGGAGTTATGGAGGGTATGAGCCACCATGTGGGAGCCGGGAATAGAACCAGGTCTTCTGCAAGGGCAACAAGCTCTGAACTGCTGAGTCAGCTCTCTGAGCTGCTTTTTACATTTGATATGTGTGTGTTCACACTCATGCACACATGTGTGGGCATATGCGTGCCATGGTTCCAGTGTGAAGGCTGGAGACAACTTAGGGGAATTGGTTTCTTCTTCCATCATGTCGGTTTCTGACTCAACTTGGCAACAGGCAGCTTTGCTCACTGAGCTGCCTCTCTGGCCCAACTGACAGTTTTAAAGAAATAAATATAATTCAAAGTAAAATATTATAAAAGTAAATGAACTACGGCCATAGTGACAGCTGCAGCTGTTCAGTAGTTCACGACTAGGACGGGGGATGTTCAGTGTGCGCTCGGACTTTGTCATCTGCAGGTCTAACCGTAGCACCACATAGGCTGAAATAAATATAATTATTAATTAATGTCAGTAACTCTAATTTACAGAAACAGGACGTATCAACTATAACAAAATGGCAGACAGACAAAGCACGGCTGCAGGGAAGGGGGGGGTAAGACCTCGTCAGTTTGACAGTGTTTAGAATTACTGAGTCACATCTCTGAGCATGTCTGTGGCGCACTAACAGAAAGACTTACCCTGAATCCTATGGGCGGGATGCATACTCAAAAAGGTTGAGGAAAGAGAAAGACAGAACTGACTGACTGACTGACTGACTGACTGACAGGGGCTCATGTAATCCAGCCTAGCTTCAAATTCACTTCACAGCTGAGGATGGCTTTGAACTCCTAGTCATCCTGCCGCCTCTTCTTCCTCCCATGTGCTGCAGTTGTGTGTTACCAGGACTGGGTTCTAAGTGTTGAGGCTCACGCCTGGGACTCAAGCCTGCTGGGCAAGCGCTCTACCAAATGAGTCCAGAATCCCAGCCTCGTAAGGGGGCATCTGAAATATACATAGTTTTCATCAGTGTTCCCAAAAGAAGATTTAAGAGTTAAAAAATTTAACATTAAAAATATAAAGCAAGAAATAAATAGGTAAGCCAGGCACAGTGGCATACACCTTTAATCCCAGTACCCGGGGAACAGAGGCAGGTGGATCGCTCTGAGTTCCAGGCTAGTCTGGTGTTCTAGGCCAAGTAGGACTACATGGTGAGATTTATCTCATAAATACAAAAGAACAAAAATGCTCAAACCTCACAGGAAACAAAACCTCACAGGAAACATGAGGAAAACAGCAGTTAACAGCAAACGAGAAGCCAGTGGACTTCAGTCATAAGCTAAGAAACAGGAGCCGCAACAACATCAAAACCCAACCCTCTTGCGTTTGCTATGGGAAGAGAAGACTGACCCTGGCGCAGCGTGAATCTAAGCTGCACAACTCCTCTGAGGGCAGCTTGGCAGCAGGCAGGTCTCAGTCTCACAGAGTGCGTGCAAGGTGCACAGGGATGACAGCCTCGAGGTGCACACAAGCCAGCATCTGTGGTAAATAACCAACCCTGGCACATCACAGCACACAGAATGCCAACACAGAAAACCGGATATGCAAGACAGGATGTTACAGTGCCAGCAGAATCCTCTCATGGTCACATAAAGCAAAGACTGGCATGTGCCCTGCAAGCTATAATCAATTACCAAAAATAACTCGGGTGTGGTGGGAGAATGAGAGTCAAAGGTCAAATGACTAAACTGATTACACTTCCTAACGAGAAGCACTTGTTTACAATCAAGAAAAAAACCACAAAACTTACAAAGACAATGCTAGGGGCTGGAAAGTGGCTCAGCTGTTAAGAGCACTTGCTGCCCTCACAGAAGGCCTGGGCTTGGTTCTCACAGCCCACATGAATGCTCCAAACTGCATCTAACTACAATTCCAGAAGACCTGACACCTCTCTGGCTTCTGCAGGTACTGGATGTACATAGTGTATTTTCAGACAGGCAGCCACTTTACGAGTGCATTCTCATGAAACACTGTATTTTTATATATTTTATCAGTATAAATGATGATAATAGAATAGTATCTTTTTAAAAAAGACAGTACTAAGCTAGCCTTGATAGCGTAAGTCTATAATCACAGCACTTGAGAGGTTGAGGCAGAAGGACAGACAATTCAAGTCCTGGGCCTCAGAGACGACGCTCTCATAAACAAAGAGAAGGCATCCTAGGCAGGCATTCTATGGAGAAGCGGAGAGAACACACATGCCCCCCCAACAACACTCCCAGGGTGGACTCTTGCACACGCTTCCTTTAGGGAATCACGGGTCCTGCTGCATGACGCCTGACACTAAGAACTATTAAATCAGCGACCACAGTGCATCTCTGCAAACATGACGTACATTCTAGAGAGGAAGGAGGGAAGGACAGAGCCAGCTCCAGGAGCCTTGATGATTCCACAAACCTTTTCTTTTGAATCATTTCGGACCTAATGCTAAGAGTTCTATTTGTTCACTACGGATGTAAATATTCCCCTATGAAGAACCCATGGCAGTCTTTCTGCCTCAGTTTCCCTCAACACACCCTTCCGTCTAGAGTGCGAGAAAGACTGACAGAACCTGAAGAACACAGACTGAGCGGAGCCTCACCTTTGCTCGCCCAGGACCGCTCGAGCACCAAAATACCTCTTCAGTTCTGTGTCTGGATTCAAGTGTCTGTGAGAAAAGAGTTAAGAAAGAAAGGTTATGTTTTTTACAGAAACTGTAAATTTTTATAAAGTCATGTAAGACTCTCATAGAGAGCTTGGCTTGTAGTGGTGGTGCATGCCTGTAATCTCAGGACCTGGAAAGCTGAGGCGGAAGGATCGGGGGTCCCAGGCAGCTCTGAAGCACACTGTGAGACCCTGGAAGTGTACTTTACTGAGCATATGGAAGAGCAACAGATGGGTACCCACCCCAACACGCAACGGGGCTCTGCAGCTCTGGCACCCACGGCACCCAGGGAGCCCTCTGGGGGGGGGTGCTTCCCCTCTGAGGGGGGGGGGGCCTCGTCCCTGTCATTTCTAACATGTCTCTGTGAAGCCCTGGATGTCCTAGAACTCACTCTGTAGCCCAGGCTGGCCTTGAACTCATGCTTTAGTCCACCCAGTGCTAGGATTACGAGTGTAAGCCCTGTTCCCGTATCTACATCCTTTTGTTTTGGGGGACCGAGTGTGAAGCCTGCTGCACAGTAGCTGGGACCCAGGGTCCTGCACATGCTAGGTGTGCCCTCCACCTCCGCACCGCATCTCTCTCTCCTGCCACTCTCCAAACTACAGTCCACCTCTTCTTTCTTTAGCCCATCTTCCGCAGCCCAGGCTGGTCCTAAACTCTCAATTCTCCTGTCTCTACTTCACAAGTGCTGGGACTGTGCTTACAGGAGTTTGCTACTAGACCTGACTAAAAAAGATAGTCAACTTTCTTCTGCTTTTTTTGTTTTGTTTTTTAAGACAGGGTTTCTGTGAAGCCCTGGATGTCCTAGAACTCACTCTGTAGACCAGGCTGGCCTTGAACTCACACAGATCTGCCTGTCTCTGTCTCCCGAGTGCTGGGATTAATGGTGTGTACCACAGCAACCTGGCCTGCCTTGTTTTAAACTCTGCTTGTCCCACTCAGAGTGCATGCAGAGCGTACCTGTGCTCCACATACAGCACGTGCTTCCTGGAGCTCAGGGGCGGGGGCCCGGGGTGGCTGGACCCGCTGCTGTCTTCAATCCTCTCTAGGATGCGATCTATGTCTTCCAGTCCGTTTTCCTAAGAGCCAGGACAAGCCGTTAACCACTGTGCTGACTTCCGCTGCTCGGATTCTAGGCATGTACCACCGCGCCTGGCTCTGACTTTACTTTCAATGTTATACTACCAGCCACAGAATGATTTATTTTGAAAAAGAACGATGATATTGACTTACTTCCTAAAAGATATCATATGCTGCACATACACTCAAAAAGGAGACAAGTCTCACTAGAGAAATTCAGAAGAGCTGGAATCACAGACGCAGAGGCCTGGAAACCACAGGCCAAAACACCACTGCATCTTCTGGAGGAGCTGACTTCCTTGGGTAAACTGAGTCACGACTCCTCACTGGCAGAAACAAAGCTATGACTTTTTCCAGAACTAACAGTAAGATATGGGGCATGAGGCGTGAGGTAGCAATAGAATGGCTGGCACCATCTGATGATGGCATGTCCACCGTGGCTTCTACACTCACTACCAATTTTAGTCATCAGGATGAGACAAAGGTAGCTGAGTAAGGAACACTCACCTCAAACCCCAGAGCCCAAGAGTGGGGTCTGATACCCAGGGAGCAAAGGGAACAAACCACACACAGACCATAAGTGGTCTTCCCCTTTGTTCTCCTGGCCTCTGAACTATGCCTCTTGGGAAGCTATCAAAGTGTTCAATAAGAAACTTTCTCCGAGGACCAGCCTGAGGTACCAGCAGGGAACAGTGAGGCTCAGGCAGAGGAACCAGACTGTTTGACAACATACCGAAGATTCTCCTGTGCAGCTTTTCTTATTTTTCTGCTTCTTTTTCTTCTTTCGGAGTTTGCCACTTGCATTAGACTAATGGAAGAGACATTTTAATCAATGGTAAGAAATAAAATCATAAACATTAAGAACTACCCAGCAGCCAGGCCTGGTGGCACATGCCTTTAATCCCAGCACTCAGGAGACAGACAGAGGCAGGTCTCTATGAGTTTGAGGTCAGCCTGGTCTATACAGAGATTTCCAGGGTAGTGAGGGTTATACAGTGAGACCTGAATTTTAAAAAATGAATAAAAAAAAAAAATAAGAATTTAAGCTGGGCAGTGGTGGTGCACGCCTTTAATCCCTGCACTCAGGAGGCAAGTGATCTCTTTGAGTTTGAGGCAATAAATAAAACAAATATACAAACAAAAATGGAAGCAACCCCAAACCCAACCTCCTCTGTGGTAGTCTCCATCCTTCCTCCATCCTCGAGCCCTTCCAATTCACTCACATTTCGGCAGTAAGAAACACCTGCCATGGTCCTCCATCCTGTGTATACACATGTATCCCTGCCCATGTGCTTAGGGCCTGCCCATGGCCTATAGTAGATACGGCGCACAGGACCACCCAGCCACTGGACACTGGCATTCCATCTTCATCCTGGCAACCATCCCTGCTGGGCTCTACCAATCCTGAAGCTGGGACTCACAGGACCAGGGTGACCCACTATGAGGCCTCTGCTCCCCTGCAATACCTCCTGTAGCCAAGTCCTGTGAGGACTTGAGTGTCACTGGACTGCATGTTCTCATCAGGCACAGGTACACCCAAAAGAGGCAGGGGACACACTGATGGTACCCCCGAGGCTACCATTGGTCTTCAGATATCTACAGAAACCTCATCCAGTTTCCTCAGGGCAAACAAACAATTGATGGACTCCAACTCAGAAGAATTCAACAAACTGGTAGCACAGGGTGATGTGGCCAGCACCTTGGGGTTCTCCCTCTGACATGCCTGACAGTTACCCATCACCACGTGATTGATCCTCTATACCTGCTCCGGGGACCCTGCTTTGGTTGCATCTCCATCTTGCTTGGTCTCTGGGTTCCCATGTTTAGCCTTTCCTTTGTTCCCTGAAGACACGGAGTCTGGCAGGGTACAGTCAGACCTCTCTCCATTTACCACAAGGTCGTCCTCAAGATCCTCAATGTTTATCTGGAAAAAAGGATGAGAAGGAGATGAAAGCAACTGAGCACCTCAGCGCAGGGCACACGGAGACTCTATGCAGCTGAAAATGGAGGACTGAATAAGTCCGAATGAGGAGGTGAGACGCAGGAGTGCCTGGCCCAGGCAGCACCAGCACAGTTCTGAGCCTGTGAGTGAGTTCTGACTTAGTCAGGGCTCCGAAGAGGAGCGTCATCTTTAGGCATGACATCCAGAATCCCCAAACCACAATGACCACATTTACTGAGCACCACACGAGGGCAGCGTTAATTTCCTCTCTTCTTTATGTGCATGGGTATTCTGCCGACATGCACGTATATGCACCACTTATATGTCTGCTGCCCATGCAGACCTGAGGAGGGTGTCATGGCCCCTGGAATTGGACAGCTCCAAGTCCCCGTGTGGATGATGGGAGCAAACCTGGGTTCTGTGGAAGTCAACGCTCGTGACTACGGATTCAATTAACCATTTTTAACTGTTAAGACTTCCCAGACAAGATACCACAATCCCCGTAAAGGGCTGCTGTAAAGAGAATTTACTTTCTGCGTTAGCAGAAGAAGCCAGTAGAACTCTTCATTGTGAAGAGCGATTATGTACCTGGGAATCACTACCCTCATACCACTGAATGCACTGCTTTGGCAGTAAATACTTAGTTCCACTTTATACATTCTTCTTTCTTGCCTTTTTGTTTGTTTGTTTTTTGTTTTTCGAGACAGGGTTTCTCTGTGTAGCCTTGGCTGTCCTGGAACTCACTCTGTAGACCAGGCTGGCCTCGAACTCAGAAATCCACCTGCCTCTGCCTCCCAAGTGCTGGGATTAAAGACATGCACCACCACCGCCCCGCTCACTTTATAGATTCTTAACATATTTCATCTTATCCAAATAAAGGCCTGGCCTTTGCTCTGGCTTCCATAGTAATATCTTCTCCACTAGGGCTTCAACCCACAATGACCAGAGGATTTAAAGGGGCCCTTAGGCCAAGTCAGATGGTAGCAACATGATCTAAGGTGGGTATCCAAAGGCAGCAACTCAGCCTACTGAAGCACCGCAGATCCTGTCAGCCACGGGGCTGTACAGCAAAGCCCTTTTTAGTGAACCCCACCAATATACCGTGTACACAGCTCATTCTGTAACCCCTGCTGCCAAAAACAACAAAAACCTGAACATGGAAACTCAGGCTGGGAATGCCCCACGCACACTGTCAATCAATCTGTGGCAAGTGTCACAGTGAGAAGTGTCACCTGTACACACCAGCGAGCACAGCCACGGCTCTGGAACCTCACTTTGTAAACACTCCCTGTTTGTAGGAACAAAGTGAATGGTATTTCTCACCAACTATTGAACTTGGAAAGTGCCCTGGGAACCCCTACAGCTGGAACTAGAATCAGAAGGCAGTCATGTGATTTCCCTCATACTCTGCAGCTGTGGGGGAATCCTGCTCATGCAGGTCTAGATGAGGTCAGGGACTGCTTTATACGTTGTTCTAATAGAATAAAATCACTGTGATGTGCAAATGTGCTTTTTTGCTCTTTGAGTAGTTTGGGTTTTGTTTAGACAGGGTTTCTCTGTGTAGCTTTGGCTGTCCTGGAACTACCTCTGTAGATCAGGCTAGCCTCAAACTCAGAGATCTATCTGCTTCTGGCTCTGCTGGGATTAAAGGCACGTGCCATCACTCCCAGCTCCAACTTGTTTTCCTTGTTGTTAGAGATTTATTCATTTATTTATTTAATGTGAGTACACTGTAGCTGGTATGTAGACACACCAGAAGAGGGCACCAGATCCCACTACAGATGGTTGTGAGCTGCCATGTGGGTGCTGGGAATTGAACTCGGGGCCTTAGGGAGAGCAGTCAGTGCTCCTAACCACTGAGCCATCTCTCCATCCCCTTAAACATTTTTTTTTAAAGATTTATTTATTATTATGCGCACTGTGTTCTGCCTGTATGTCTGTGTGAGAGGGTGTCAGATCCCCTGGAACTAGAGTTACAGACAGTTGTGAGCTGCCATGTGGGTGCTGGGAATTGAACTCAGATCCTCTGGAACTCCCGCATCAGCCTCCATGTGCCACTATACCCAACTCTGAGTCAATTTTTAAAAATTTGCTGTCTTTTTTCTTTTGAGTTTATATGTATGTGCCTATATATACATATACATATACATACACACACAGCACATATAAATATACAAGTAATATAAATACATACTGTAAATACATTATAAATATATTAGTAATATACATTATTTGCATATTTATATATACTATATATAAATTCACACATACAACAAACATATAAATCTATGATATAAATATATATAATATATCTCTATTACTAATATATTTATGTAAAGTACATATTTCATTACATATTAAATATATTTACTTATGTAGGTTTATTTACTGTATATTATATTTACTTAAATATTTATATTATATATCTATGTTAAACATGTTTCTATATACTGTATATGTTATACATATGTTATATATATGTTATATGTGTATATATATGTATGTGTATATATATGTGTGTGTGTGTATATGTATATATACACACACACACACATATATATGGTATAAATGTTTTTATTTTGGTTTTCTTGGAGACAGCATCTCTATATGTAGCCCTGGCTGTCCTAGAACTTACTATGTAGACTAGCTTAGTCTCAATTCACCGAGATCTGCCTTCTCTGTGCGTGCCACCATGTCCAGGAGACCATGTCATATAAACAAACAAACAAAAACAAACAGGAATGCAAAGTATGCCTAAGTCCCTGGGTTCAATCCCTATGCCTGCAAAACAAACAGAGTATATTGCTTACTATTCAACAGTAAGAAAGAACAAACAATAAATACTCAAAACTAAATAAATCTCAAAAGTATATTCTGAACAAGGGCCAGGTACAAGTGACCAGATGTCGGAGGCACGAACAGTTCACACAGATGGAAATGTCAAATTCACACTCGATGCACTTTAGTATAGAACCTCAATAAGCTGACTTTTTTTTTAAAGACAGGGTGATCTCAGTATGTTGCCCTGGCTGGCCTAGAAGTTGATATGTAGGCTAAGATGTCCTTTATTTAACTCAGAAATCCTCCTTAATGCAGGGATTCAAGGTGTGAGCTGTCACGTCCAGCGATAGACTGATTTTTAAACTCTTCTGAATGACATGGTACAGAGTTCTAATCTAGAGTCAGGCGTGGCCCTGGGCCATCTTTGCCGCATCCTTCCCCATCAGCCCCCGAGAACGTATCAAACAAACCACTTGTCATCCCGTGCTTCCGCAGCTCCTCTGTCCTACTTCCTACTACTGTTGAAAGCTGATCACACGCCCAGCACATGCTACAGGCTGCACCCATGAGCTCACGTAGGCTTCACGACAGCCCCATGAGTTAGCAAGAGCATCCCCCAAACTTTCATTCAGTATCCTGTCTAGGCTCTCATACGTGGACTGTATGTCTCAAGAGGGACAGCCAGGACACGAGTCTCTGACTCTACATCCTTGTACACAAGCCTAAAACAAGTATTTGTTTTGTTTTGAAACAGGGTTTTTCTGTATAGCCCTGGCTATAGAGAGTCCTAGAACTCTCTCTGTAGACCAGCCAGGGTGGCCTTGAACTCACAGAGTTCTGCCTGCCTCTAACTCTGGGATTAAGGGCATGCACCACCACTGCCTGGGTAGTAATTTGTTTTATTAAAATCAGCACAGATAGACATGGACGCCGTCCTGAAGGGCAGTGATACATCACTGAGCAGCAGTCTGTTTCTAAGAAACGTATATTCTAGCAGTGGGAGACAATCAGCATATACAGAAGAAGAGTAGCTTGGTGTGGCTGGTGGGAGCTGTCAGGGGAAAGGAAGGTGAATTGGGATGGCTGTCAATTTAGACAGACGGTAAGAGCAGACACACGTAGGGTAACAACTAAACATACCCATGGGAGAGGAGAGGACGTCTCTGTTAGTGTCACCGCAAAGGGGACTGCAGCCAGACGGGGAGGCAAAGGGCAGATGAAACAGTGAGCAAGACTAGAAACAGGAGAGGTCAGGGAGAACTGTCTTAGCAGATGGCAGACACCTGCTGGGGAAGGAGAGCTGTCACTGCGTACTCCTGACAGACTGAGCCATAGCAGCAGGGCTGAAGGCTCCCTGTGACCTGAGACAGATAAAGGGGTCTCACTCTGCCCCAGCACTGCATAGACTGGAGGCACTGTTAGAATCTCTACGAATGCTAATAGCGTCCTCACATTCTGATGTTAATTTCCTGTAACTAAGGAAAGATTTTGGGGGACAGACAATTGTTGAATTCTCCCCTGGCTGCCTTGACAGACAACTGTCTGCCAGACGACCCATACTCAACATTGCTTTGAACATTCCAGAGGCCTGGGAAAAAACCCACCCCGCTGCGATCACAGCTGATTGCTCAGGCTGAAAGGTGCAGCCTCGGAAACACTGTTTCCCTTTGTATCAGGCTTGTACAACCGCGAGCCTTAGTTTAGGTTTGTAGGTGATTCCTTGGTCCCAAACCCTAGTCCTCTGGAAAGGCAGCAAGGGCTCTTCACCACTGGGTTGTGTCTTCAGGCTCCCCCCACACCCCCCGACTCCCCTACCCCCACTAGCCTACTTTAATACTGTGGGCTAAGCTGGTCTAATACAAAGAAGTAGCTGAGCAGTCAGCAGCCTGGGCCCCAAAGGTGGCAAGACAGCCAGCCGCCTGAATCTGAAAAGGGGGCAACCGAGTGTCGGGAGCTGAGGCTAACGGCAATGGCTAGAAGGAGCCAGGGAAGCCAGAGTGCAGGACCCTTCAGGAGAGCTGTAAAATCTTCAGGGCCAATGGTCTCAGATGCCCAAGGTCTGAGGGCTAACACAGCTTCTGTCAAGGGAGGAATCCCAATACCAAGGACGACTTCTGTAAGGGTGGATGATGGGATGTCTAGGCTCTGCTCTGAAATCACCTCTTAGAGAGTAAAGTTATTTTAAAGACATGTAGACAGACGGGAACTGGACCATGGGCACATACGGGTTATTTGTATTTCCCTATTTTTGTGTGTGTTTAAAATTAAACCTAGCTGGGAGGTGGTGGCACACTCCTTTGATCCCAGCACTTGGGAGGCAGAAGTAGGTGAATTTCTGAGTTTGAGACGCAGCATCTCAAAGTTGTCTACAAAGTAAGTTCATGGATGGCCAGGGCTACGTAGAGAAAGCCTATCTTGAAAAATAAATAATGATAAGCAAAAGTAAATAAAACACTTAAAATGAAGGGACAAGAAACAGTAGGAATGAGGTTGCTTTCAGGCTCAAAGTCAGAGAGGAGGTTTTACTATTTATTTTATTTTTTTGGTTTTTGGAGACAGAGTTTCTCTGTGTAGCCCTGGCTGTAGAACTCACTGTGTAGACCAGGCCGGCCTCGAACTCAGAAATCCGCCTGCCTCTGCCTCCCAAGTGCTGGGATTGAAGGCATGCGCCACCACTGCCCGGCTAAAGTCAGAGGAGGTAGGAGAGTTCTGACTGTATCAAGGAGAGACGAATTTCACCACTGCCACAGGCTACAGGACAAATCCTTCCCTTTCCTTATGGGAGAAATGAACAATCTAGGAACCAAACTTCCAAAATGTCTGTGACATTTTCCACACTTCAATATATTTATATCTTTGCTAGGAACTTTTAAACCTGCTAACTGATAAAAGGCTGGGGACGGTGCTGTCTAGGGCAGTACTATAGTAGGGTAGGCATGGTTTCATATCTGTGACTTGAGGGAGATGCAGTACTTCCATGTGTCCCAGCTAGCTGAGACAGACAACTCGCCGTAAGACTGAGTATCAGACACATTACAAGTTTTTACTCACTCGAAAATGGCCACTGACTCCTTACCATATGTGCAAGTTGGAGACACAAAAGGAGCAAAACAGACATATTATCTGCCAACACATGAAGTCAGAATCATACTTCATCAAGTGAAACTGCAGACCCAGGTCAGTCAGTCATAAGGAAGAACATGGGACCCGGTAGTGCCACACATTTTTCTGCTGCGAGGGATGCGCTAGGTATAACTAGCTGGGACACACAGAAGTACTGTGACGAATAAGCCGAAATGTTTGCAAAACAGCTAGAAGCGAGAGACCTCCCCCACGTCGCAGATAGGAAACCATGCCTACCCTACCGTAGCACCGCCCGAGCATAACCCCATTCCTTCAGAGAGGCCAAGACCCAACTGAACCCCACCGCCCACTCACCATCCCTAGGGGCCCTCCCCTAAGCTGTCTGGCTTGTCGCGCCACGCCCACTCTGACGTCACGGCCCTGTCTTGCCCCTACGTCACATCACGTCCCCGGACACTGCCCCGAGACACGCCCTAGACTGCAGCAGCGTCCTGTCACTCAGCCCCTCGTCAGCACCCCCGCCAGGCTTCAGAAGCCCCTTCGCTCGGCATTTTATCCCACCTCCCACTCCACCCAGGTCGGGGAACACCGCTCGACAGCTCCCCGACCTGCAGTTCGGCACCTCATCACCCCACCCACCCTGCTGAAGACCCGCCCTCCCCGATGCGGCGCAGTCCCTTCTCTCCGCCCACTCGACTGCGGTCCAGACCCAACTTTGTGCCCCTTTCGTATGACGTCATGCCCCCCACTATACCCCTCTGGTTGCCCAGCTCCTCACCAGCTCGAACCGGTTGTTGACACGGACTCCTTCCTTCCCTGCACCCCCAGGGCGCCGGCCACCCAGCCCGGGTTTTGGTGCCTCTTCCTCTGCGTCATCGTCATCAGGAAGGACAAACTGCAAGGCGTCGGGCCCCAGGGGTTCCTGGCCGCGCTGTTCCCCCCTCAGCCTCCGGAGGGCCCGGCGCGACATAGGACCCGACGGCCTGATGTGGGCAGAGGGACGAGGGAGAGCAGCAAGAGTGGCGGCGCCTGCGCACTGGCGGCGCGCTGGCGCAAGGTTGGCGTGTCGCGTTTGCGCGCCGCGGCTCTCCGGAACTTCCTCCCGATTCCCCGGTGCAGTCAGGGAAGGTGCGAGGGTGGCCCAGGGAGTTCTCGCGAGAGTCGGGCCCCCAGCAGCGGCGGTAGTGCGGCGCTTGAGTTTTGGAGACGTCTGGGTTGCAGAAAGCTTGGCTGTGCGGCGGGCGGCTACGCGCAGGCGCAGGCTCGCCACGGACGAGATTCCCGGGGCGAGCCGGGGGCGTGCGAGCCCGGGGCGAGCGAGCGAGCGAGCGCGCGCGCGCGCAGGAGGGGAGGGAGCGAGAGCAGGTGCGCACGCCGCAAGGCTCGTGTGCAAAGACTTCTGCTCGGACAGTAGCGAGGGACCCTGTCCCCAACCCCTCTCCGTGCGACTTGTCCTACGTTCCCCACCTCCACGTTGCTACTAGACTGCAAAGGGACGGTTTTCGCCTTCATAGAAACAGTCTAACTTCTTCAGGATGTCTCCTCTCCACGAGGTGCACCGAGTTAGCTGTTAGGGGTTGCTTTTTATTGTCGGGGACGCAACAGGGATGGTCACCTTACAGGGGTATTGGGTGAGAGGGAGCTGTCGAGGTGTGGATCCCTGGTCTGACGTCGAGGTGGCAGCCCTACCTACGAGTATTCTAATTCAGGAAGGTTCTCGCAATAAGGACATAGGGACCTTCTGCACAGATCCTTTCTTTATCGGTATTCTTTTTGTTTGTTTTGGGTTTTTGAGATAGGGTTTCTCTGTGTAGCCCTGGCTGTCCTGGAACTCACTCTGTAGACCAGGCTGGCCTCTGCTTCTCAAGTGCTAGGACTAAAGGTGTGTGCTACCACATCCGGCTTTTTTTTTTAAAACCACCCCCCCAAAAAAAAAAAAAAAAACAACACTCCCTGAAACTGAGATCTTGGTTTGTAAACCTGGCTGCCCTTGAAGCTTACAGAAATCGTGTTTCTGAAGAGCTGGAATCACAGAGCAATTCCATGTCCAGGCCTCATTTTTTTTATACTTTAAGAAAACTTTCCTAGACAAGCCAGGATTGAGTACCTCCAAAGTAAAGTGAGCTGGTGTTGGGTTGGACCTTCCCCCACCCCCCTCCCCGGTCTGAGGGCAGGAGAGGGCGGCTTGGGTGTGGAGAGAGCCTTGTTGAGCTAAGCCAGTCACTGTTCTTTTTTTTTTTTTTTTTTGTGGTTTTTCGAGACAGGGTTTCTCTGTGTAGCCCTGGCTGTCCTGGAACTCACTCTGTAGACCAGGCTGGCCTCGAACTCAGAAATCCACCTGCCTCTGCCTCCCAAGTGCTGGGATTAAAGGCGTGCCCCACCACTGCCCAGCTACCAGTCACTGTTCTAAATTCCAACTTCACTTTGGGAGATAGATCTCCTTTTACAGATGAAGGCTTGGCTTAGCGAGTTAAGTACATTCATGGTACATTAAGTTCTTACATGGTTTTACATTCATGTGACTCTCAAGGTCCACACAAGATAGGCGGTTCGAAAGGACAGGTGGGCAGGGCAGCGTCTCTTTGTTTTTTTTGTTTTTTTTTTTTTTTTTTTTTTTTGGTTTTTCGAGACAGGGTTTCTCTGTGTAGCCCTGGCTGTCCTGGAACTCACTCTGTAGACCAGGCTGGCCTCGAACTCAGAAATCCACCTGCCTCTGCCTCCCAAGTGCTGGGATTAAAGGCGTGCGCCACCACCGCCCGGCTAGGGCAGCGTCTCTTATTCCAGCTCTGGTGTGAGTTCACTGTGTGCTTCACTCCAGCCTGACTTCCCCAGGAGTCTTCGTTCCGCCATGTTGGATGCTGAGCCCAAATGACTGACTTAGCTGCTCTGCCCACACTATGCTAGACTCTTTAGGTACTTAGAGTCTTACTTAGCTGCTGTCTCAAGGTGTCCCGCCACAACTCTCTTCCCTGCTTCTAATCACTGGGTTTTTGTTGTTGTTGTTTGTTTGGTTTTTTTTTTTGAGTTTTTTATTTAAAGTATGAGTATCTGCGGCCGGGCAGTGGTGGCGCACGCCTTTAATCCCAGCACTTGGGAGGCAGGTGGATTTCTGAGTTCGAGGCCAGCCTGGTCTACAGAGTGAGTTCCAGGACAGCCAGTGCTACACAGAGAAACCCTGTCTCAAAAAAACAAAAAAAAAAGAGTATCTGCATGCCCAAGATTCAGATGGTTGTGAGCCACCATATGGTTGCTGGGAATTGAACTCAGGACCTCTAGAAGGGCAGCCAGTGCTCTTAACCACTGAGCCATCTCTTCAGCCCCCTAATCACTATTAAAAGTCACAGTTTCTTCCGCATCAGGCTCAGTGCACTACCCTGACTGTTAGGACCAGGCTAGCGTCTGTGTCACCATGATCGAGTGCTGTGGTCAACGTACACAGTAATAGCCTTACCTATGAATAAAATGGAGGTCTCTGTCTGGAACTGCTTCTCCTTAGATAGAAGTCGTGGACCCCCAGAAGGATGGAGTTGATCTTCTCTGAACCACTAACTCCACATGTGTCTCCTTGAAGTGCTGCAGATCTGGTCCTTAAGGAAATCTGTTCTAAACCACTGTCCTTGTCATTGTCTCCGATAGGTGAGGCTAAAGGTAGTTCAGTGGGCTGACATGTAACCTACTGTTTAGAAGAGACCAGCAACCCTAAGGACCGTAAGACAGATGGACAGGCTGCTCTCTTGCCTCAGCAGCCTCTAGAAGGGGGTGTAGGGCTCTGTACAATCAGGGCATTACCCTGCAGCTCAGCTAGGTGTTTCCCAGGATGCGAGTTTACTGCTGTCATTTGTGTTATGTGAGGATCAGAACTGGTGACACCGTGCTTGGAGTGTGAGCTGGCTATGTGACGGTGATTGTCCGTGCGAATACCACACAAACACGAGGGTTTTCCCGTTTGAGAGTTCACTACGTAGCTCAGACATCCGCAGCTTGCTACATACCCCAGACTGGCCTCGAACTAGGGATCTTTCTGATGCTAATTCCCAAGTGCTGGGGTAACAAGTGTGAGCCTCCATACTTGGTTAAAGGTGACTGTTGTCATTGCTGGCTGAGTGACAGTGGGGATTCCCGACCTTCTCCTCCTGTTCTTTTAAAACCAAAACAAAGGGCTGGAGAGATGGCTCAGTGGTTAGAGCGCTTGCTGCAACTCAACCAAAGGAACTGAGTTCAGTTCCTAGCACCTACGTGTGACTCACAACCGCTCTCAACTCCAGTTTGATAGCCATCATGGGCTCCCGCATGCGTGTAGTCGACATAAATTAATGGAAGTAAACATGGAACAGAAATAAACGCATCTCTTAAAATTTAAAAAGTCAAAATACAAAGGCAGTCTGTGAGGTGGTCAGATGACAGAGTGCTGGGAGCTAGCCGCTTTTATTGGATGTTCTAATTTCAATGATAGCTTGCACAGATCCATCTGTCACGGTCATGTGCCCTGGGTGCCTCTTCTAGCCCTAAGCAGGCCGTTAGAGGCTGGAGTCAGCCTGCAGGCCTCAGTTGGCAGGCTTCAGTTGAAGTTCTAGCATATTCTGAGATAAGCAATTAAGCCTCTTTACCTTACTGAGCCTTTCTTTCCTAATCTGTAAGGTGGGGTGATGACAGAAACCCCCCTTCCTGGGTGCATGTAAGCAGGCACAGTGCTTAGCAGAGGCCCGTCCTGAGTCCAGGGGTCGGAACTGCCTCTGGGCTAATAAACATGACATCACCATCACTTGGGGAGCAGCTGTGCTCTACAGATTGCATTGGCCTACAACTCGGGCAGAGAAATAACAGGGTATGCAAGCCTGTGGTAATGGTTCCCTGACAGGAAGCAAGTCACCAAGCCCTCCCAGGAGATTCCAGCCACCCCCTCCCCTCCCCAGCTGCACCATGGTCTTGGTATTCTAGCCCCCCCCCCCCTTCCCTCCCCAGCTGCACCATGGACTTGGTATAGGAAGTAGGAAATTGGCTAGGGGTGTGAATTACAGGGATGCAGTTTTCATGGGTGACAACCCATGCTGGGGTGGGTCTTCGTGGTGACACAGCTGAGAGTCACTTACGTTCCCGTAAGTAACCACTCACTGAATTACAGTAATCTCAGTAAACTCATTGGTTCATCAAGCTGGACTTGAGTGGGGTCGTTTCTTTGGTCTATCAGTGCCGTATCTGGATGCTTGTTCATACCTATCTCCCTAGGAAGTCACCCAACACTAGCAAGAGACCAAGAGCGAGCTTGACTTGGGGGTGCCTGGGCTTCTTCCCAGCAGAATCCCACATACTCAGAGGCCTCCCCGGTATCTCTGAGGCCTGAGCTCCTAAAGTACAGCAGAAGTAGACCTGGTCCTCAGGTCCACCCGGGGAAGAGAGGCTGCCACACGCTCACTACTGAAGAGAACCAGGGCATGGGGCAGGAAAGCTGAGTTCTGAGATCCAAAGTCCCCTGCCCTTCCTCCATTCCCCAACCCCTCCCAGCCTTCCCAAGGACTCCTGGGAGGAAAGGAAGAGGGAAGGTCCCGGAGAAAGGTTGGCCCTGAATGAAGTGTAGGGAAAGACACAATGTATATAAATATAGGCCATATATATATTATAAATGTATCTATATATGTATATATGTACATGCGCGGGGAGGGGCTGATGGAAGCTGTGCTCCAGGATGGGGTGCAGGGGGGCCATCACAACAGTCATTGGAAGTCGAGAGTCCTGGTGTTGGGGATGTACAGGGACTGGGTCTGGCGGCTGCGGTGCGGCGTGGCATTGAGGACATCCACGCTCTTGCGGCTGGAGCACACGACATCCGTCACAAAGCTGGTACAGTCACTGCAGACATCCTTTAGGACACAGCCGTGGGCATAGATGTGGGGGAACTCCTCCTCCACGCTCCGCCACCTTGGTCCCTGCAGGGATCTAGAACGGAGAGATGCCAGGAAAGAACCATGAGAAGAGAGAGCCCTGCCGGGGCTGGGCTCTCCCAGAGGCCTTGTCCTGGCACTTCAGAAGCCCAAACCTTGCTTTTCATGTCCACAGCCACCCCTCCAAGCTGCTGCTTCTTCTCTCCTTCCTCATCCACGGGACTCTGACTGAGCACAGCTGGCAATCA